TTTGCTTGCTCATTCCAGCACTCGACCCCACCTCCCTCTTCTGCAGTCTCCCGAAGCAGTTAGGATCCGTACCATGGAATCGGGAAGTGCATGACATCCTGCCTTGTTTTGTTCTCTCTTTGCTCACTGGGTCGCTCTCGCCTTTGTTAGTTGCAACATGCTTCGAGAGCAAGGCCCGTCTTCCCCAGTGCGTTCAGCTGACGTCTGGGGTGTCCACAGCTGGGATCTCATCCCAACCCTGTGCAACACACAATCGGGTAGAGGACAAGCCTATGAGTCAATCACTGGCTGAGTCTGAGCAGTTGTGATCCAACTGCCTTGGGAACTGAAGAGGAAGGAGACCGACATGGGGCTGGGTGCTAAGTCCACAGCTCCTCGAGGGAAAAAGGCATTGCAACAGCAGCTCAGGGATCCAAAGGAGTAGTGTTAGTTTTCAGAGGCCAGGATGAACGTTGAGTGAGGAAAGGGGTTATTCTAGAAAGAAGGAATGGCATGTGTCAAGATTCAGGGGATAGTTATTTAGGGTATGGTGAGTAGTATGTAATTTAAATACATTTTTTTTTTTTTTGTACTGGGGGTTGAACCCAGGAGCGCTTAACCACTGAGCCACATTCCCAGCCCTTAAAGAAAAAAAATGTTTTTGAGACATCTGTTAGGAGTCAGGCTGGATATAATCAGAGTTGCACTTTGGGAAGATTAACCTGGCATGAAGTTCAGGACATTCTGGAGCTAGAGATACTAGTTAGAAAGCAATTGCGACAGCCTGGGTAAGAGATAGACAGGCTTCAATGAGGTGAAGTGAAAAGGGACAAATGGTAGTCATTTACAAAAGGGACTTAAGAGAATGGTAAGTGCCCTGTGCGGTGGACACATGAAAGGAAGTTCCTGGCAGGAGATGAGGTAAACAGTGTCTATTGCAGCAGAAAGTGTCAGAAACGCTTGGATCTGCTTGTTAGGTGGTTAGTAGCAGGCTGTAGTTGGTGGAACCTTTTGCAGTTATGAGCATAAAGTGATAGAAGCTTCCCCTTGACTTTTGTAATGCTTATCTCATTTTCTGTGAAAAATTTTTCCATAGCTGTTGTTATATTTGATGCATAGATGACCTTCAAAATGTTAATCATTCTATTGTATTTCATAAATTTGTGGGCCAGGGATTTGGGCAAGCACAGGCATTGCAATTCTTCTGCTTTGCAGATGGCTGGCTAGGATGGCATGCTGGTCACAAGGGCAAGTGGGCGGGGTCCACCGCGTGGGAGATGCTCAAGGACTAAGCCTGGGCTTGCTCGGGCCCCTCTTCTTCTCAAACGTGTTCCTGAGTCACATAGGCCTCTCTTTATCTTGAGCTCTGGGTAAGGCTACTGTGCAGCTGCGGTGACCTTGACTCCTTGGAAGCCATCTTTGAACGGGATGGTCTTTGAGGCTGCCTTGGACATCCTTAGCAGGACTTTCATCTCTCTGAAGTGATCTGTGAGACATTACCTTAGATCTTCTGAGGCTTAACAAAGAATCTTGCAATAACATCCTGGAATTGATCTTTGCCCTAAATCCATTTTTTTCCCTTCCCTTGGAGAAGTGTTGCTGGGAGAGAATAACGAGAAGAAAGAGTTTTATTTTCAAACCTAGCAAGTCCTGGTTCGTCTACACTCTGCTAAAAACATGAACAGTTCCTTTTGTAGTTCATCTTTTTCTTCTTGAATTTTATCACTGGCAATCAGAAGAATCTTGAATTTTATCACTGGCAATCAGAAGAAGGGTTCTACATGCTACTTGGGAAACTTTACAGCCAAACCCATGAATTCACAGATATGCCCTCTAGTTTCCCTGTTTCTGTAAGAAATAGTTTTCCTGAACTCTTTGCCCCCCTCTCTTCTCCAGTGTCCAATAATGACTTCTCACTGACCTCCCCTCCACATACCGGGACACTCTGAGATCTTTCAGATCTCTTTCCACCTCCACCCCATGTCCCCAACACAATGCCACATGTTGTCATTTTTGTCATGTCAGTGCCCACCCCACTTCCAGCTGATAAGTTGTTTTTTTCTGATAATCAACTGCAGCTTGACAAGCTACCCCAAGACTCAGTGACTGAAAACCTGTACGATCCTACCACATTCCATAAAGTGGGAAGAGAGGAATTTGAGCGGCTGGATGATGCTTGTATTCATGTTGCACTGACTGGGGTCACCTGGCAGGTGGAGTGAATGTGTGTGTCCCCTCAGGATTTACAATGAAGTCCCCATCTCCAATGTGATGGCATTAGGAGGTGACCTTTAGGAGGTCATGGGATTATAAGTATCATTACTGTCCTGTGACCCAAGAGCTTGTCTTGCTCAAGAAGGTGGCCATCTGCAAACCAGGAAGTGAATCTGCATGGGATACAGATGTGTGTGACTTGACCTTGGCCTCCCCAGCATTAGGATTGTGAGAAGTAAATGTTTCAGCCACCCAGCCTGTGGCAGCCTAAGCTGACAAGACGCTTGGCATTATTTGGCTAGCAGCTAGGCTGGCTGGGGAGTTAGCCAAGGTGTCAGTCAGTCACCTGGCCCTCTGCTCAATCATAGACCACCTCAGAGCCCTTGGGATGTTGGGAGGAGAGTCAAAGACCATGTGGCCACCATGATAACCAAATAGACCAATCATAAACATTACCAGAAAATATATTTTGTCAGTGTCAGTACGTGGCAGGCTTTTTGTAACTATCTTGCAACTGGTGGAGTGAAGAAAAGGAATTGTCCAGGAGCAGAGTTCAGAGGGGGCTTCCTAGTATAGAGTCCTGGCTTTTCATAGACTTGCTCTGTAAGCCTCTCAACCTCACTGAACCTCAGTTCTGTTGTTTGTAAAATGTAACCAGTATTTGAGTATGTATCACATAAAAAAAATCATTACAGATATGTTAAAGCTCTTGTAAACTCTAACGTGTCCGATATTCAATACGTCCATGGTGATTAAGCCGAGCGCTTTGGGGTCAGACACCCTGGGTCTGACCTCAGCTCCATCACTGACTTGCACGTGTGGCCTGGGTCAGCTCCTTAATCCCCGGGAACCTAATTCCATTGAGTGCAAAAGGAGGGCCGCCATCCCCATCTCCCGAGGCACAGGAAACAGGGCAGACTCGCGGATGCATTGGTCCTTGCAGTGGTTACCGGGAAGGAAGGACGGGATTGAGAACCCCGCCCCTTCAGGTCTGAGTGGGCCAATCAGCGGCGCGCTAAGTGAGGGCCTCGTCGTCCGGTCCACGCCCCCCAACGTGGCCTGAGCTGCCCGAGTCAGGCAAAGGACAACAGCTTAAAAATTCTGGCCCAGATCCATTCTGTGTGCTGCCATGTATCATTGAACCCAAATACACTTCAGAATTAAGTGTCTTCCCTGTCACTCGCTGTCTGAGGGGACAGCCCTTAGTCCTTGGTAAGTACCACCTGTGGCAGGCACCTGGCAGCCCCGTCTGCCCACCTTAGTCCACGGGTCCGCCTTTGGTGATCAATCGGTGTTTAATTAGCTTGTGAAAACTCGCTGTTAAACCTAAATTAAATTTGTAGCAAGTCTGCTTGAGATGATGGAGCAACATCAGGACCGCAGCTCCCCCGCCACGTGCTCTCTGTCCAGTGGGATTCTCGTCTTGGACCTTGGCTTGAAGGAGCAGCGGGGGGAGGACTTGCCGAGCACTCAGCCGCGCAGCAGGTCCTCGGAGCCTGGTCCCCAAGCCAGCAGCCCTGCGGCACCTGTTTAAATGCAGGGTCCCGGGCGAAGCCCCAGACCCTGTGAATCGGGGGCTCTGTGGGTGGGACCTGCAATCGGGGTACTGATAGTCCTCCCCGTGACTCTGATGTCTGCTGATTCAGAACTACTAAGTCAGGTCCCATGTCAGGGGCAGTCCCATGAACAACCCCTCCCTAAAACCTGAAGCTCCCGTTGGGGGCTAGGTGTGGCCCGGGGATAGAGTTTCCCTGGCAGGTGTGAGGTGGCACTGGGTTCCATCCCCAGCACCACACACACACACTCACTCACTCATCACCTGGAAGGAGATCTGCATTCTCCTGTATCTTTGTTATATTTAAAGTATCAATCAAAAATACTTGGTTTCCATAGTGATGGGTAATGGGGATATGGATCTTAGATGTGAATATAAGTGCAGAAATCCTTGAGGGAGTTCCATGTTTGCCTCACAAGAATGCTGTCGCCTCTGCTGGGTAGCATGTCCCCTGCCTATAAATTGGTTTAGCCACATCTTTTACTCTAGTTGTTCTTCTCTCTTATGACTCTAGAATTCAGATACATTAGAAGCTACCCATGTGATAAATTTAAGTGGGAGCCCTTAATGTGACTCCCAATGAGTAGAAAGTAAAAGCAGCCGTTTGAGATGGGGGTGGTGATATTTAGGCTGGGTCCGGGGGTAGGGGAGGGAGTAAAGCCCAGGAAGAGGAGGTGCTTCTCTGTGCTGCTCACAGAGCACAGCACTCCCGCCACAGGGGGATCCTGGGGCAAATTGGTCTTCATAATTGAGCTTAGGCCAGCACACCTGTCGTGGGAGACAGACTGCCACGGAGAAGCTCCCGTGGGCGGAGGTTCCTGGGAGGAATCTGCAGAAGTTTTTCTCTGGCAAATAGGTCAGCGAAGGCAGGAACACAAACCGTATCTCCCGCCAGGTCCCTGTGAACACACACGCCAAGAAGGGCCGGACAGGAAGAAACCAAGCCCAGACATTGCCGGGGACCATAGGTAGCCTGGGACTGAGTGGCAGATGACACGCATCGTTTTCAAACACACGGGATTTCCAACCACTGGGCTGTGACTTGGGCTACTGAGACTCACCTGCTTTCAGATTCTTGTTTGGAGACATTTGCCCAGGGCAAGCCTTCCCCCAGCTCTTTCTTCTTTTCCCTCTAAGAGGTGAACACTTCTCAGGAAGGAGAGTGCCTTGGGTGAATGGTGAAATCACGGCTGGGGACTCTGACATGCTACCTTTAGAGTATCAGGTCTTAAACACCTGTTTCCTTCAACAGTGTCACTGCAGATGGCCGGCCACCCCAGGGAGTCGATGTTCCGGGGTCGGAGTGTTTGGCCCCGTCGACACAGCTATGACCTTTCCCAAAGGCTGCATGGTGAACGAGCATGGACGTGCGCTCCTATGCAGGAAGAAGGAAAACCTGGCATCCTGATTGTCTGAGTGATTGAACCCGGACCACAGGGCACTTTACCACAGAAATGGAAAGAGTCTGTCCCTTACACCCCAACCAGTGGAGAATGTCCTGTGTCAAAATCAGGTTCCCCAGCCAACCACACTTGACCACTAGCAGGTTCTAGAATAGGCCATGGCAAGTGTGTGTAGCCAGAACACTTGAGAAGCAAGGGAGAGAAGATGGGTCTTGGGCCTTGCTGAGCTGATGTCACTTCTACTTGAGTTTGGGGGCCTAGTCTGTGTGGTTGGAAGGGCTTTTCAGGAAGGTCAGTTTTCTCCCTGTGATGGCAGCTGCCAGGGCTGCGGGAGCCTGCCCTCTGACACAGCCAGCTGGGGTTGTGGGTATTGCGGGCCTTGCTCTCGGGCAGCCTGTGGCACGTTGATGAGCCTCTTGGTCCTCATGTGGTTCTGAGAGCTCGCTGGACCAGGAGCTGTAAATCCAGATCTCTCATTATTCACTCAGACATGGTATTTTTTCATACCTACAAAATGAGAATGTTGGGCTTTCATGATAATAGGAATTGAAAAATGATGGTAAAATACAAAGAAAAAATTCATGCTGTTTAAATACAATGCTTACTGAGTTTTATTTTGAGATTCATGTTATGTGTCATAACAGCTCACAAATAGTCTGGGAGATTTTAATACAGCGCCTTCTCTTCATACTCAAATCTTGAAAGAAGATGACCCCCTACAGCTAATTTGTCTCAAAATTAGCTTGATTGATTAGTGGCCTACCCTGTGCAGGCCTCTTCTTAGCATCGTAATGGGGGTGAACGGGCACCGTTTGTGGACACAATAGGCTCCTTTCCCGAGTCGTTCCAAAGTGAACAACATGGCAGATGTGCACAGGAGCCCAGGCAGCAGCTCTCAGCCTGCCGTCACGACCACCGCCTCTGCACTGGCTGCAGCAGAGGGAGGCCCAGTTTAGCATCTGAGCGTCCATTCCCTTCAGTCCACTGAGAGGCCCACCTCGAAGCCCAGGAGTGCCTGCCAGGCCCTGCGCTCTGCTCCAGCCGTTCTCTCCAGGAGAGGTCTGTCTGCTCCCCTGGGGGGCAACTCAGAGGGACCAGGGGAAGAAATGTTCTCCATAGCTGCCCAAGAGGTCAGTTTAAGTGGGAAACACCATGGAGGTGCTCCGGTGGCCAGCGGAGTGGAGAGCCCCAGGCCTGACTCCACCCTCCCTGCAGGCCTCAGGAATGTGCTGGGAAGAGCTGCAGGTTTGGAAGTCCTATCCTTTGAAATGTTTAGCCAAACAGGAACCTGGGAAGGAAGCTTTGGATTGTTAGGAACATCCTGACTTGCTCTGCCCTTTGTGTTTGGCCCCTCCTGATCCCACATCCTTCATAAGGTGCCGCAGGGCCTCCTTCCTGCAGGAGAGGAAGCCAGGGCTGTGGCCCCTAGGGAGGGCTTGAAGACCACATTCTCTCCCTCTCTCCAGGGCACTCCATGCAGCTTGGCTCCGAGAACCACTGGGCAGCAAAGGATGTGGGTGGAGGGCGGGAGGAGGTGTGTAATCGGCTTGGCCAAGTGATCCCCATCATCTCCTCCTCCCTCTCTAACCCTGGGCTCTTCCCCAGCTGCCCTGAGCCACTAGGGGCAGAACACAGAGTCCAGGCCCCCTTGCAGGACCCCCATGCCCAGCTCTGCTCTTTACTGTGCACGAAGGACAGGAGTGCAGGAGGGACACTGTTCTCCCCAACACAGAGAACAACACAAACACTAGAGAGCAAGGAAGGACGAGGTTATTTCCAGCCATTTGTTGAAATTTAGCAGCATTTTGGACACTAGCCTGAAACAGTGGTTCCTGAGCTTCATTATCTAGTCATAAATAAAGCTGATTTCAAATCAAATTAGCTATTGAGGGTTTTCTCCTTTCAATATGTGACTGAACATAAAATGCCTTCTTAAAATCTTATAAAGTGTTCAGAGCCTGATCTGACACAAAATGAATGTCAGAATAATGTTCACGGTGAACCTTGTATTTAAGTAGCCTGGGTATCTTTTTTTTTGTCTTTGATTTTATGTCCCTGTTTAAACCTTTTTTGCAATAACCCAGCATTTAGGTTTCATGGATGTGGAAAGACAATCAGCAGGACTGAGTTTTGGAGATTGGTCTAACCTGGCTGGGTAGGTGGGTCACTTGGAAATTAGCAGACAGACACGATCCTGGGGTACACCTCAGGTCTGTCGCATCAGACTTCAGCGCAGGAATCGGCCTGTTTGACAGATACCGTGTAACTCACCAGCCTACTTCTGGGCATGGTCAGGGAGGACTGGAGACGGGATCCTCTGGGAGATGGAGGAAAGTAAAAGCCCATTCTTCCTGGTTCTTCCTGGCGTCTACTTCCTCATCTCTCAGCTCCTGGGTACATTCTTGGACTTCCTGCTCCATTTCCTGCTTTCACAAAAGCCTAATTTGATGATGATAATGATGATGATAAATCTGCAATGCCTCTTCCCCTCCGTACAGTTTTTTTTTCAAAGGAGCCTGTGTATGTGCCTCTAATCCCTGCCAACGGCGTGTCTGAGACTGGAAGCTCCCGGGGTCAGCGTACTCAGCTGTGTTTGGACTTCTTTAGTCCGTACGCTACTGGAGAGCAATGGCACACCCATGAACAGCTCCAAAATAAGGAGCGGCCCCATGCACAGGACATGACACAGGACTGGGTGTGCCATGTGCAAGGGGGCGGCACGAGTGCCGGAGTCATTTCCAGTCTTGCTAATTAACAGGGCATGGGGGACTGAGTGCTCTCTCACCTTTTCCTTCCCACCTCAAATGGTCTTGTGCTCTTGGAGAGAAGCCGTCAACCCACCGCACACAAAGCGGAGTTCTTGGGTGGCGTTTGGCTTGGTGTTGATGCTGAGGATTTTGAAAAGAGGTCTCACCCGTTCTGGAATGGGCGGGATCAAGAGAAAGGTCATGGGTCTGCATGGTCCTTCACGCTCCACACCCATCACCCCAGATGGAAATCAGCTTTCCAGATCCTGTGTTTGGGCAGGAGCTTCCAGCCAGTTAGGACTCTCTGTCCTCCCTTCCAGAGTCCTTCCAGGGCACGCCGTAGTTTGAACTCCAGATGAGGAAGGCAGATGTTTTTCTCATCTCCACCCACCCCCAGCGCTTTGCCTAGCGAGCAGTGTCGGAAGGGCTTATTGTAAGTGGCTGCGGGGCAGAGGCCTCCCGCCCTTCAGCCCGCGCTACCATGCAGCTGCTGCATCTTGTATCAATTAACCATCCTAAGAGAATGTGGGAAGGAGGACAGGAACAGGCGTGGGAGAGAGGGCCCGTCCAGCTGAACTTTGACTTCGAGGCCAAGGGTGGGAAGAAAATATGGCACATGGGCTGGGAGAAGGAAATTGGCTAAATTTAGGGTCATTTATTCTCGCCAGTTCTGAGCTTCATAGTTTTTGAAGCAAAATAACTTGTTTTCCAGCAGGGAAGTGATGCTTGGAAGGAGAGAAAGGAGGAAGGAAGGGAGGGAGGGAGGGAGGGAGGGACGGAGGGTGGGCATTCAGTCCCTTGGTGAGGACGGGTTTCAGGCGGTCTCATCTGCCTCCCTTTACTGCACGTCGTGAGCCTGTAAATGAAAGGAGTCACATGGTGACAACACTGGAGGAATTGTGTGCTGCTGCAGACGACGGGGCACAGCTGCCTTCTGCCTCCATCCTCCTCCGCAACTGGGACTGGCGGCAGCTGAGAGGCCGCACCAGCGCTTCCTTCCCTCCTTTCAGCTGTGGACAAATATAGACCCTGGAGGGTGTCATCAAACCCAGTGCTCTGGCCCGAGTGCCGCGTTGGCCTCATCTCCCCCGAGAGCACTGGGAAGAGGGAAAGTGTCCAGCCTCCAGGGAAGGGGGCGTGGGGCAGGGGTTGGGCTGGCTGCCCTTGGGGTGGCTTGCTTTTTCAGCAACCTAGAGGGTGTTGAGACCAAGATTCTATCCAGTTAAATTCAGCTGACTTTAGTTCAGTTCAATAACTCCTGAGCTCTCACTATGCCCAAGAGAACTAATATTGTGGAGGAATTAAAATTGAAAAAATACAGGTGTGGTGGAGCATCCCTGTCATCCCAGCGGATCAGGAGACCGAGGGAGGAGGACCTCAAGATTGAGGCCAGCCTCAGAAACTTAGTGAAACCCTGGTTAAAATAAAAAATAAAAAGGGCTGGGGATGTAGCTCAGAGGCTAAGCATCTCTGGATTCAATCCTCTGTACCCAAAATAACAACTACACAAGAGCCTGATTCTTTGTCACCCAGGCGAGGAGACCCCTTGATAAATGCAGACCCAAGATGGCCGTGAGAAATTCTCATTAGAGACGCAGACAGCAGGGCTCAGCTGCCGCCTGCGTTTCTGTTCCAGGAGGCCTCAGGGCTCTTCCTGACCCTGAGGACTCAGGTCTGGTAAGAATGGGTGCATGATTCTGCTCTGCCCTGTGGGCGGCTTGGTCTCGCTGTGTGGGGAATGCTGGGACTGGGAAGGGGAGTTTGAATCCTTGGGTCCCCAGTGCAGGGAGCCCAGGGCTGGTGGCAAGACCCCTCCTCTGGTTTGTGAGCCGGGTCCTGGGCTGTGTGGGGCCACGGTGCTGTGGGCCTCTGCAGCTTGTCCTCACTTTGCGGGGCTCAGGGCCCCCCCAGGACTCCCACCCAGGTCTCGGGCCCAGGCAGGATTGGTGCCGCGGTGTCCTTCCTCCTGTTTGCAGCTGAGTGGGAGGCAGCCCCATTCCTTATTCAGGCCTCTGTTGGCGCTTTGATGTGGACACTCCCCTGTTCAGTCCACTCCCCTCCATCTGATCAGGAGCCGAAGAGTGACGTACCTTCCCCAAGGGACCCCATGCTCCTCTCTCTGGATCCCTCCTTCCTGCCCTGCCTTCTCCTCTCCCCTCCAGTCCCGGCCTCCCACTGCCCCTGCCGCTGGCCCCCGTCTCTGCTCTCCGTCCCTCAGCTCCACTCCTGTGCAGAGGTCCTGTGATGGAGAAGGTCCAGGGCCAGGCCGTGGGAAGCCTGGAGAGCAGCACCCCAGCTTGGCCTGACCCCGGCTCTCTGGGAGGGAAGCGCACGTTTAGGGGTGTAGCCAAGAAGTCCAGGAGGAAGGAATCAGGGTGACCCTGATGTGGTGACAGGAAGGTCCGTGGTGATGGGGACGACAACTCTGGAGGAAGGTGGGTGGAGCTGGGTCACTGCCTTCAGGGGGACGTGGAGGGGGCCGGGCGCTGTCCATTCGGAGGGCCCAGGGAGTGGGGAACATGAGGGAGCTGCGGGGGGCAGGCAGAAACGAGAAGGCACGGGGGTGCTGAACCAAGGGGCCTGCTTGCTTCCAGGCTCTGTCCTCACGGGAAAGGAGGTCCTGCTGGAGAGGACTCGGGAGTTTCGGCTCCAGAGGGTGAGAAGTCCCAGAAGGGACAATGGCTTCAAGGACCAGAAAGACCCTGGTTCAGACGAGCCTGCATGTTGGGATGCAGGTCAGTGCTGTGTTGGGGTGTGTATGTCCTCCCAGGAGTCATGGCTGTAATCCTGACCCCCAGGAGGACGCTCTGCGGCCTTTGGATGTGATCAGGTCGTGAGGCTGCAGTCTCAGGAAAGGGCCTGGTGCCCCAGAGAGCGCCCCGCTCTTCTCAGCACTGCCCTTGTGAGGCCTTCCCGAGAAGGTGCCTCTGTGAGCCAGGGATTGGCTCTTAGCAGACACGGGCTCTGCTGCTGTCTTGACCTTGGACTTGTGACCTCCGGGCTGTGAGAAGTAAATGTCTGTCCTTCATAAGCCACATGCACTGAGGGATCTTGTTAGAGTCGCCCAAGTCGGTGCCCCATCTCCCAGGGGACCCTCTTGCTCTAATGCCAGGGAGCCACCTGCTCCAGGTCTGCAGTGGCTCTGGTCCTGAAGGATCAGGAGAGGCTTGGGGTGGGGCAGCAAAGCCAGGGCCCTCTTACAGATTCCCTCCCTGCTAAGCACAGCATTCAAGAGCATCAGGGACATTTAAGGTCCATAAAACCCTGTGTTTACAAGGAAGATCTTCTTGAGGAGTTAGTGTTTGAGGAAGGTCAAGGTGGCATTTATTGTCACTTTATAGGTTTGGGTTGGCAAACCACAGACTACACTTCTCCTTGGTTCTGGGGTTTTCCAGGAACCCAGGTGCCTGGGATCCCACGGGTACTCTGAATTGAGTTCACATGATTTCTAACGATGCTGCAAATATTAAGAGAGATTAAAACCATCTTTAATTTATTATGTTTACTTACAAAAAGGATGTGCAATTTAGAGCCAAAAGAAAAAATGCTAGCCTACATTCTCGGGGACATTTGTCACTAGGTGCTTCCTGTCCTGGGCCTCACCTCACTCTGCAGGTGCCCGTTGTGAGCTTCTCCACAGTGGACGGGGGCCTTTCTGGAATTCTCCCGAGGGACAGAGGCCCGAGAATCATGAAGCGTCTGGTGCTTCAGAATAGCTCCATGCCAGGCCCTTTCCGGACACCTTGCTTCTGCTCTGGGTCTCTTCAGTGGAAGGTCTGGTCACCACCCAGATGACATTTTATCCGTTGTAAATTTGCATTTGTCATTCTTTTCTGAACATCTCCTGTCTGCCTCTTCCCTCCTCCAGAGCACAACTCATGAATAAAAAAGGAAACCAAAGCTCTGCCCACCGCAGCAAGTGCCTGTCCCTAAGTGGAAGGTCTTCCCTGCTCACCTGAC